TCCTTATTTGTAACTTACAGTGGAATTCATTTCTTATTTACACTAAGACAGTTAGTTATATTAATATGGCATTTGGAAGTATTATATTAGTAAATGTAATCTCATTATACATATTCATTAAGCAGGTCATAGTTACAGGACTGTGTATTTAGTTTTTGAACACTAAAGACATGTACAGTACAGTAGGCATAGTGAATGGTTAATGGTTTTTACATTTCACATTGTAGTGCTTTGTGTACTATCAAAGGAAAAAAAAACATAACGATTACTCACTTACTAATTACAGTGAGTATTTGTAACAAAGTTGCCCCCACAGCTGGGAGTTATATTGTCCTGTTAAGTCCAGTCCTGAGTTACAATTACACTGATTTCTAATTACACTGTGCAACCTTTGACGCTGTAGTGCGATAGCTCCCAGGCCCCATATATCTCCTCAAGCTGCAGACATTTCTGACATAGTTTTGCGTCTCTATGTTTTGGATGTGACAGCCGCACAAGCAGGTGGTTCTCATTAAGTCTGTCCAGGGAAATTTGTCAAGACAAAGGCAAACACATGCACATGAGGCAATGGTTGGGGTCTGAACTTACACATCGACTGTCGTCTCTCTGGAATGAAAACAATGACTTGAAAAAAGGAAATCATTTTGTTTTATTTGAATGTGAATGATAAAAAAGACAAACATTCTGGTGAAGAGGTGGATTCCAGTTGATGAACAACATAGTAAGAGATAAGAATGGCACCTAAAGAATGTACAACAGATCATGAAATCATCTTCTGAAGAATTCTAGACATTAGCAAACACAAGCGACCACACTGAACAGTTCACCCCAATGGACTGATCAAACTGATAGGAATAAGAAAAACTATTTGAAAATCATAAATACTTCAGAACAACTCAATACACACACAAACACACCCACATGTACATATATATAATGTTTGTGTGTGTGTGTGTACTTTATTCTGTGTTATTTATGTGTACTTTCTGATTGTGTTCTTGTTTGTTCTCCTCCATTTTTTTCCCTGTGTAAGCTTTGTGGAAGTGTTTCAAGAAGTATGCTGTTCCACTGAGGAGTCTTTATAGATCTCCAAGGAGATGCCACTGTGTCTTTTGTATTTTGCATATTTAGGAAATAGCGGGTTGTTATGTTATTTAAGATCAATATTTACAGCCCTTGCAGAAGGACAGCACTTGCAAAAGCCCTTTCTCTGCACATTTCAGATGGTTGTAGCGGTTTTCTTCCATGGATGTTTTGTGCATACGTTCAGTGTGTGTAACATGATCTGAGGCTGGAGAGAGTGCTGACCCCATATGGTGATGCTGACTTACAGTCTCTCCAAAGGCCCGGCGCTAATGGAACACAAATCAAGATGGAGAGATGAGAGATTATATGAACAGAAACTATAGATCGCTTGTCCCAAGGGCCGCCATCACCACAATAAAACTTGCTACAGGATGACTGGTGACGTCTACAGTAAAAAATAAAATCACATAATACATTTTTATGCTGCACTCTGTTTTAGCTGCACGCTTAGCCTGATCTGTGTTCAATCTTTTATAGAAGCTACATTTCCAAATTTTAATGATTTTCAAACTCACACACACATTGTCATTTTCACTTTTACTTTGGAAATGTATTTCATCTATTTAAATGTGTTTTTGTTGTTGTGTTTTTGTGTAGAGAGCTCATGAAAAAGAGTTTAATACATTATCAATCTAACAATAATCTAAATACTTTGTAAATCTGTTTTTTGGAATTGAAATCAACATAGAGAAATGTCTCCTGGACATAGTTTGTCATTTTGGTATTGCACTATGTTCAATATAATGCCTACCTAATAGAAATAAATATGCTCACTTATTCAATGGCTTATTTTGAGCTCACAACTTGCGAGAGAAGGGTGAATGGGTTCAGTAAGATTATTATACGAGGCTAAAACTTACTAGAATGCAAGAAATTGCATGCATTTTCTGCAATTGAGAAGACCCCCACACTCCCCAAAATTGATTGACTCTCAAACCCATCAATATCAAACCAATTTTTATATCCTAAGAATATTCTATACATTTTTAACACCTGGAGGGTATCTTCCTTGATATTATTGTTTATATAATCATTTTTATATTTGGGCAATGCCATCTTTTAGACAAGTTACAGAGTGCAACTTTATTATGATGAGTCCTACAACTGTAAAATGTTCAGTCCCTGCAGACATGCTTGATGGCCAACCTCTCACCATTCTTCTAAGGACGTCACACATAGTGTATACAATACATACAAGGTGTTTGTAGGCACTTGACTGGGCACTAATCAGGGTCTATTATGAACGTACTTCTTTACTCTTGCATAGACTTCTATGAGTGGTCGCTCCACCTTGCATAGGGTCTTATCTGCTTCAACTGCATTGTTGTGTGTTTGCTATATTATGGAAACAATAAACCCATTGAGCTGTGTACAATGAATATTAAATCAAATTACCATCAGCTAAAGACCACCAAAGTGAAAAAAGTGTGCAGATTCAGCACCCTGTACTGTATATTGGTGAAGGGAGGGATCCTATTTCTTGCTTCTGTCCACACTTAGTATTCTTCCCATTTTCTTGCAGGGAGAATAAAGCAACCCTGTGTGGACTTATACTGGACTAAAGTATGCTGCCCTCCCGTAGACTCACTCTAAAAAATGCTTTGGCAAGCCCCTTTTTATTTAGCCTGCCTCAGGAGGAGGTGAAACTCTTTAGATTTGAGCCTATAGTAGATGGTCCAAGATCCACCAGGACATGTTTTATTCAACCTCTATGTTACTAATGCGATGTTCTCATTCTGATCTTTTTATAGTGGTTCTTTCAAAAGAACAATTTACGCTGTAACTTCAGTATGTGCCACCTTACTCTCACTATAGCGCTGACTCACACTCCCTTCCCCCTTCATCACACAAGGCCACAGTAGTCAGTGCTAGTGAGCGAGGCAGATTTACTGATTGATTTTAGTTTTAACGACAGTCCCACCCCCACAGCCCCCTCACATGTCAGACCTCTCCTGCGGCTCCAAGATAACAGGGCAGAGAGTAGATCCAGACTTTAGTATCGATAATGCAAGAGGGCAGCTGGACAAGGGATATTGATTATTTAGAAATATTTCATCTCATTTTACTGTGGGTCCATGGCAATCGTAAATTGTATAATTATTAGCATCCTTTACATGCCACATCTGATCAAAATAAATAAATATATGAAACACACAAAAAGTGAAATATGTGTAGTATGTATTACATAGTCCCCAAACGGGGTAATAATTACTAATAGTTTAAATTCTCAGTTACAGTCTCAGAAACATAGACACATTTTCTAACCAAAAGTCTCCAAGTTAAAGTGGTGTTGTTGTTTAATGACTAACACTGATAATGCATATTTTGATAGTAATTATAATCTAAGATAACACATGTTTTCCCAGTAATGTATAATATACACAACACTTATTATTTATCCATTGGTTTTACATGCTGAAAACTATCTGTACTTGAGCAAGTACGTATTTTAGGGCCATATAATGCTTATGATTAATTCAATTGCACTGTTGAGAGAATAAGGATCAAACATAGATTTGCATGTGCAGTATGGTGACTGAGATGAATGTCATGTAATCTTGCAAGCCTCAGCATGACAGCCATGTCCTGCCTTCATGGAATAACATGAGGCTGTGTAAACAGATCATTTGGTGCCTGAAAAACATGCATGTACATATGTATACCCATAACCAAAAACATATCAAAACAGTAGTATTGCTAAATCTAAAACTGTACAAATTAATAGATTTAAAAAAATTCTATGACGTTTAAAAAATCAGAATCATTTTTATTGCCATGAGACAGTTTCTTTGCAATGTGTTCAAAGCTGTTTTGATTTGAGATGTTTTTACAGCTGTAAGCAGCTGTGCAGAAATGTTACATAAAAACAGTTTTGAAATATTCTTTTTGTGTAAAACTATTTAAAAGTGCTGCTCACACAATTTAAGTGGTGGTTTATTTGCTTTACTTTGGTGGTATGTGATAAAAATACAAAACCATTCATGTTTCCGAATGTAGAGAAGCCTAAGAGCTGACACAAACTACAGAAAAATGTTTAGGTAAAACACATTCAAAACGAAGAGCATGACAAAGCCTGCTCTGTATATTAAGACAGACGTCAACTTTTTTGTGAGAAAGTTCTCTCAATGTTTACCATCACAGCTAGGACATTTTCAGATACTATAAGTTCATGAGTGTTAGTATGTGAAAGTGCCCCCTACTGTTGAAGAAACAAACATCTCCAAAGACCTGCTCTTAACCTGAGAACAGCCAGAGGATAAGTCACATTGCAGACCAACCATCACACTCACATGCTTGTCATGTAACATTTATTTAGACAAGATTCTTTGTAGAACTTGTTTGACTTATCCAATCATAGTTTATCTCAAAGCTTCTCAGGCAGTGCCTGTGCGTATCCTGGGCCAAATATTGGGGACACACAACATGAGAGATGACCACAATATATATGTATAGTAGTAAAGCACAATATAAATCCTGTCATAACAAACCAAGATCTCTGTGCTACGTATTGTTACATACTCAAATGACAAACAAATACTCCATAATAGTTTTACAGGTTTAATGTCTAGTTTTTCAAACTATAAAGAAATACAAATGGTTTCTATTGATTTTTAAATGTAAAGTCATAAATGTATTTGGGAAATCATTGCTCACATGGACCATCATATGAAGTATATTGAAGCAGCACCGTGTAGTGGGCAGGTGATCTGACATTTTGGAGATGGAAATGTCACTTTTTATGTTGGAGAATAGCAAAATGAGTCTCATGGAAATAAGCAGGTGGTCAAGCAAGAAACAAGCCCCCTCATAACAGTGCATCCTCATTACCAAAAGGTTTTTAGTGCAAAAAACACATCTATGATTGGATACCCCTTTGTGCAGGGGCTTTAACATTGAAGCCAATACCTCACTGATCAGAGCTGGTGGGTGGCAGAAGTCTGTGACATGGCATTGTAAATATAGGTGTTGCTAAAGGGCACAAACTGGTGTGTAATGAGCTTGATGGCCTCTTGAGCAGCAGCTCCTAAAGAAGAAAGATATGAATTAAACTTGCCAAGAAGTATTAAAAATGTATAATGTGCATCTTTACCTCCCATGAAAGCTGAAACTGTGTGTGGCTCTGTGGCCCCATAGCGGCAGCTAAACAAATCATTAAGAAGTCACTTTATTATTCAGAGAAAGAAGGCACATTGTGATGTTCCATATGCATAATTTTACATTAAATTGAAATGCTTACAACTCATGGACATAATCATCTTTGATATTGACACTGAGGTTGTATTCCTGTAGAAGGCTGGTCACGCACAGCTTCAGTTTGCTGATATCCTCCTCCACTTGGTAGTTAAAGACTCCTAAGGAACAAGAGAGCCAAGATCGCCATCTTGTGGACTACAATATTTTTTATTTTTTTATTTTTAACATTATTAGTTTACTTTTTACCTGGGTAACGTGAATGCTGCTGATAAAAGCGGTCCACAGCACGCAGCATGAGATAGAAAACCATCTCGCTGTCTGGACTGTCCATGGCTGATACTGAAACACAGCAAGATTTGTTTTTACTGCAAAAGTTAAACTTCAGAACAAGTAATGATGGGATGAAACATACTTATCTCATCTTTATTTACTAAATCAACACTGTATTCTTCAGCCAAGGACCTGCATCGCACCACCCTCAGGAAAGCTGCATGTTTGCCTAAGTAAAGGGAAAAGACTGATAACAGAAAACTGCTCACTTTGCTCTTTACAGTACGTATGTCTGCGGCACTTACAGAAGAGTTTGATGTCCTGGTCAGATATGCTATCAGGAGCCTATTTCAAAAGTAATATATCGTAAATATTTACTTCACAACAATAAAACATAAAGACTATTCACAAACCATTCCGGCGGATTGAATTAAACATGCAACATGCTTTGAAACAGCTGCTGCGTCCTGGAGAGCCTTTTGCCTGTAACTGTAAAAATCCCATCATTAACATAGCCGTATGATAATAGACATTTGCTGCATACATAGATTTGATAACAAAAATTCCCAATTTAGACAATTACTCACATATTTTGTAGATTTATAAACTTTTGTGAGTCTGCTATCATATCGGGTATTGTGCCTCGAACAGGTAAGTTGCCGTTGCCTTCATTTTGAACAAATTCTTTGACAGCACGAAGCATCACCCAAAATGGAGAGGACTGTGAATATAACATAAATGCATAATTAGTAAGAAATACCTACAAAAACAATGCAATACATGATGGTGTCTGCTAACAACCTCATTGGTGATGTTGTTACATTGTTCACTGTTGAAAAGATCCTGAACAACATTAGGAATCTAAAAAGAACAGGCAGTCGATGATATGTAACATTTAGCCAACATGTGCATTCGTGTTTGAAATAAAAAATGTACCTTAGTTGGATTTAAAGCAGTATTGACATTTTTAATAGCTTCATCAAAGTTTTCCTCATCCTCTGGGACTCCATTCTCATTTTTCCTGACACCTGAATAAGAGAAAATGTTTTACCATACAATCATGTCGTGTACAGTTTAGTAAGATTCATTGAGGAGTATACGAGAAGTAAAACCAGTATAATTCTTCCCATGACAACTCTGGGAAAATACCTTCTCGAATAAATTGTCTGAAGGCCTCTTTCTCTCGATACGTCTTTGGTATCTGACCATCATGCTGAAAACAGAAAAAAAACATGTTAAAATTGAACAATAAACAATAAAGAATAAAGTATTTAAGAAATACCTCGCTAAGCCATTTTTCTAGGTGTTTAGCAATAAGAATAACCCATGGAGTGTGACTGTGATCCTAAAAACAAGATCAAGACAACTACAGTGACATAACTTTAACAATAAGAATGAACTGACTTTATATTTGATTGACAAACCTTTTTATTCATGCTTTCCAGATCATAAGAAGCAATGTGTTTGTTCAGTTGATCAAAGGGCTCATCTAATCGTAGGTCCTCCAAGGCATTGTCTGGGTGCGATTCAATCACTGGAATTGAATGCACAATATGAATAAAAAAATAAAAAAAAGACAATATGTGATTACCAGATGAACCTCTTTATTAACCTGAATGCTCCTCCACCACTAGTCTCATGTAGCCAATTAGCCCGTATGTTTTGCAGATGAGAAAAGGCACAGACGCACTCCAAAGAACAGAGCCGAGGCATAAGCATGTCCTAATGAAATAAAAATGAGAGTAAATAAAAGCACGATACAAGTACAACCTAAAACCATTTAGTTAAAATAATTACTTTTCTGGTAGCTGGGCACCAATGACAACAGTAAATCTGTGAAAAAACTCTGGATTGTTTTCCAAGAGTTTCTCAGGACTCTAGAACAGATACAAATCAGTACATGGACGATTTTCTATATATGGAGTATGTACTCAATTAAGAATCAAACCTCTTCAACAAAGTTTCCAGATACATCACTGTTGAGTTCCTGAAGCAGTTCAGTAGCAGCATGTGCCCTGTTCTAAAACAGGAGATGTGATAATTAAGTGTAAATCTCAGAATATGAGGACGAGATCATACAAATATCTTACTTTCCCAATGTGATCTGTGCTCAAGAAAAAGCTGAAAGACATATACGAACATTAGCACTGCCATTAAACTGTAAGTAAATTTCTAACTGTAACTTAATTACAGTTTCCTTACTTGTTTCCAACATCTTCTCCAGTAACTGTGTGGCCATCAACTATTGTGAATGCTCCAATACCTACATCATGACAGTGTGAGATCAGTATGTAACACAGTAATAAGAGAGCCCATGGTCCTTACCTGGGAGAACCAGGTTTTTTAGTATTTCTGTCCCTGTTGCTGAGGCATTTATGAGGCAGACGTGGGCATTTTCCAAAGCTTCCTGGCCGTGGTCTCCCCATAGTCTAGAAACAATAAAACACAGAATTGGCATTTGGTATGAATGAACAAGACTGAATGTTAGCAATGGGACAACAACCATCAACATAGCTGATACGATTTGTTGAGACAATTCTATTAAAAAAATGGTCATTTACGTTTGAAAATCACAAAAGCAAAACGCACTCATTCAGAAAAGATTCAGCTAACTTAAATAGCTCGTGGATATAATGTTTGCAGCGTATAACTAGCACAACAACAATGCATGTGAAGTAAGCACAGGCTAGCAAAAGAGCTAGCCTGAGATATCAATGTATTTTTTAATCTCACGAGTCTTTATATTCTGCTTTTACCTCAGTTGCCGGTCGTATTTCTGTTCTTTAGAGGCTTTGTTGGAGGACATTGTGGCTTCCAGCTTGTTCAGCTCCTCTTTAGGGAAATACTTTAACAAACGTAGCCGCAGATTCCACCATTTTTTATTTTGTATGTGTTTGTTTAAAATATTTTTACAACATACATTATTTTACGACATCATTAAAAGTGACAGATAAACAGACTTAATATAGATTTCGACTCATTTTTATATGAAAGGAGAAGACAATGGTACGGACACCCAGGAGACAGTGTGAAGCCATTCGCACTTTCGACGAAAAATAACAAAAATATAATAAAATAAACACGGTCCTGCCAGAATCTCTGCTTTTGCTATTTAATAACAGCTTCTATGTAAACATTTTATGATTTGCTATGAACCACTTTTCGTTTGTTTCAATGGCGATACTAGACAAACGCGCTTTTTGGAGGAGACACCACTGGAGGGTGCTATCGTGTAGTTTATATTGATCTAGTAATATTACGACAAGGCCACTTTATTTTATAACAGAGATCATACATAAGGCAACTCGAAGCGCTTACTAAAACAACATCACAATTATAGAAAGAAGAGCAAAGACACAATCCTCCATCCAGGTTGAAAACAGTATTGTTTTCAACCTGGATTTGAATTGACGCATGTGTAACATTTTCAGGAATACTGATACAGATTTGAGGTGCATACATCTGAAATGCTGCCTCCTCATGTAATAAACCATGGCTGCATCATTATCTAATGAACGCACTCGTTTAATTTCTCTAAAGACATTTGTGCAAAATCCAATGCCCAAAAACCAATCACGGAAGTTAACCTAATACAGTGTTTTTCAACCTTTTTTGAGCCAAGGCACACTTTTTTCACTGAAAAAATCTTGCGGCACACCTCCAGGAGAAAATGTAAAAATGTATACAGTACTAATGTAAAAAAATATATACTGTACATACTCTGTGTGATATATAAAGTATATCTCATCTTATCTTATAATGTATACAGTATACTCTGTAGCACAATATACAGTTATTCTCATCAAAATGCTTAAGTCCAGGCCTTGAAATTAAGCTTTATTTAATATTTCTCGATACAATTAACAAGAGTTTGGGAATAAAGTGGCACTAACTGTGTGGAAAAAAACTAAGAAAATCCACTCTCTGCCCAAATAGTCAAATAATAACTCACACAAAGAACATGCATTGTTAGTGCATGGGAAACATTTTGGTATCCGAGCTTTAAATTCAGGAGTTTTGGATGAGGGACACGGGAGGTCCTGAACGCGAGTCCATGGTTCTGTCCGGTCCGCATGTCTGTGGTTCTGTCCACCTGACTATGGTCTGCGCTCGGTACCCAGTTCAGAAGTGCGTTCGCGAGAGCAGTTGTACAAAAATTGTACATTTCATAGTTAAACCACTACAACGCGGCCACAGCTGCCCCGGGGCAGAGCGGAGGATGTTAATCCTGTTCAGAAACGGCATAATTCATTTTCAAAAACGTCTCTATCACTTTCACTTCTCACTCGCCACAAAGCTCTTGTCTCGCTCCCTCCCACATTTGTTGGTCGCATCCAATTTTACCTTTCTCGCCACAATGCTGACCTGTTGCCAGTGGTCGCATCCAATTTTTCAGTTTCAAAGTACTTAGCTATCTGCTGCCATCTACTGATTTGAAAAAGTATTACATGGTTACTCACAGTTCAAAACAAGTCACCGCTGGTCAACAGCGAATGCAGCTATTTTTAGACAAAGTAGACGAATTTCTCACGGCACACCAGACAATATCATACGGCACACTAGTGTGCCGCGGCACAGTGGTTGAAAAACACTGACCTAATAGATACCTGATGTCATGAGCTTTTATACATATTGTATGGTGGTATGTTATGCTTATCGTGGTTGTCCATGGCCTGGGCTTTAGAAGGCGTGTCAAGGCGGATAATTGCCCTTCCCCTTTGACCGCCCGCTGAGCTTCATTAGGAGCAGCACCGGTCCAGGGGCCTTTGTGATCTCCACGTGCACGCGGATCCCACATCTCCAGCGGCACGATGAAGGGGAACCACTGGGGTTACGGAAAAGAGAACGGTAATTTTATATTTTGATTATTTTGCTTTTCTCTGTGGACATATTGCAACGCAAGAGTGGCTTCGACTAAAGCCAGATTAGATTACCTGAAAGGATTGTGTGGTCACTGTAAAGAGATTAGTCAGAAAAGAAAGTGTTTGAAAATGTTGCAAATTATGTGCAGTAATATATTCAAGAAAACATCAAAATATATATCAATACATATATTTATATTTTATTATTATCATTATTTTTGTTTTACGTTATATTTGTTTGTCAATGTTAACTTTCTCTCTACAGGTCCAGATCTATGGCATACACATTATCCAGTGGCGCAGGGCAGCCGCCAGTCTCCCATTGACATCCCTCGACAAGTTTCTCATGATCCCAGTTTGGGACCAATTGTGCTTGACTATGATCACTGCACCTCCATCAGCATCTCTAACAATGGACATTCAGTGGTGGTCAACTTTGATGACACAGATGAACGATCTGGTAGGCTAATATAACATTGTCTCTTTTTATTATTATTATTATTGTGATGATGATGATGATTATTATTTGTCTATTAGTAGTATAGTATTAATGTATAACTATTATTACAAATAAAAATGGCCAGTGGAATGAAATCACAAAATCAGAGGTTGCACGGGTGTATTGTATTGTATGTGTGCAAAGTTCACCGATTATCTCAACTATGATAGTAGCTTTGAGGAACAATAAGGTTTAATCTTATTTTGACTGGATTGCACAGTGGCTTTTGAAAGTGCAAACCTTTTGCAAAAAGGCCATAATTTACTGCGAGAAATAACACCTTGTTCATGTTGGACTGAAATAACACTTAAATACGTGATGCATTGTCTGTTGGCGATAATAACCTGAAATGCTCTTCAAAACATTATGACTCTATTTGCTTTTATAACTGGGTGGATCTATGTTTATTACCCTGTCATTACCATAGCGATAATGTGTCTCATTTGTTTAGGAGCTTCTACTGTGCATTAACAGAGACTTTATTGCCAGATTTGGTCTCACATAAGTTTAGTTTATTTATTTGAATTAGGACAATAGATATTAATCAGTGTGTCAGCAAACAACTTCAACTGGAATAATGGAACTAATTAGTTATGTGACTAATTATCACAGTAAGTCTTTACTGACTCATTAACATTTTCTTAGAAATTTTTTACCAACATAAGACTTTTTCTTGACTTTATCTCTGAAACTTGAGTTGAAACAAAGATTACTCCAATGTACACCAATTGTTGCACCACTTGTAATTGTTCTCCATTGACCAGAACAGATGGCTCACTCCTGCTTGCTGAAGTGAGAAGAACATGCATGTGATTTTGTTCTATTTAGGTGTAGGAGGAGTTTTGGAGCCAAAGAGATACTGGAACCATGGCCCCAAAGAGAATTGTAGCTGTTTTTGTTGTTGCTGTATCATCAGCATAATTGTATTTTGGGGACTCTGGCAGAGATGGTTACACATATGTTATAGTTTTGTGCAGATGCTGGCAGCAATATTTGTGGGTCAAACTAAATCTTTGGTTTATGGCACATACAGTAAAGATAGATTGATGTGCAACTTAAAATAGGATGTGTGTGAGGTGTTACTACAAGGACTTGCTCATGTTTGTTTACGTGTGCCTGTTGAATTTAAAATAAGAATCGGATCAACACCCTCGTACTTCACTGGGCCTTGGTCAGATGTATTTCTATCACCAACACAGCCTGTTACCCTTTTTACATCCTCTGTGTCTTTCTCCTACAGTGATCCATGGAGGCCCCCTTGAAAACCCCTATAGACTCAAACAGTTTCACTTTCACTGGGGTGGAAAGGGATGTGATGGCTCCGAGCACACGGTCGCAGGAAATAGCTACGCATCTGAGGTCTGTGGCATCTATATGCACACAAAAGAAATGTCCAGTAACCACAGAATGGAAGGTTGTTTTAAAACTTATGACAGACAATTAACAACATTTATTACAGGTCAACGTAGAATTATGAACGTATATTGATATAACTGCTTGATGTGATGTAGCCTATACTGTGCACTGTGCATAGCAACGGAACTCACTGAAAAACATTTTCTTCTTCTAGCTTCATTTGGTGCACTGGAACGCTGTCAAGTATACGTCATTTGATCATGCAGCTGCTGCTCCTGAGGGTCTGGCTGTTGTAGGCATTTTTTTAGAAGTAAGAAAACCTCTAAACAGCTGATAATGCATTATAACATTGTAGTCTATTGGCTCATCCACTACCATCATGTAATGTACAGTTGGGTTTATTTGTCCACATTTGTTTCACTGCTATTTCAGTCTTTTTTACTTTTATCCATGTATTGTATTTACAATTCTCACCTGGATATTTTTGTTTCATAGACAGGCGATGACCACAGATGGCTCCACACAATTACAGATGCAATGTACATGGTGAAGTATAAGGTAAGTGTGAAATAGCACTGTGCCTGCTGCCATTATTCGAATAAAGTGAAATGTGTTTTTGGGTTCATTTCAGGGCAGTATAACAGACTTCAAGGGTTTCAATCCAAAGTGTCTTTTACCGAGTAGCCTCCACTACTGGACCTATCTGGGATCCCTGACCACACCTCCACTCCATGAAAGTGTAACATGGATATTGCTTAAAGATCCTATTGCTGTCTCAGAAAAACAGGTAAGCTTGTAAACCATGTACCACCATGAACACTTTATGCTTTCTTAGTCTTGTATTGTACTATGCTTTCAGATAGTTACTGCAACTTCAATTCAATTTATTGCTGTATAGACGGGGAAAAAATTGGGAAATCTCTGGAAGGCCTATATTGGGAGAAGAATCCGCTCCCACAGACGGATAGGCTGTAGATCCCGACTCAGGCTAACAACATAATAACGTCAAGTTACTGAATAGACAATCTTTATACATTGCTGCAACCATTTTAATTTAAAATTTAATTCCTGGAGAATGATCGTAGAGTCATTTAGAATACAGCGCGCCTGTCTCAAAACATACTTTGTTGACAAGTTAAGCTGAGTCACTGGATGAGAGTGGCGCATGCCTATCGTGGCCCTCCGGCAGAGCGGCGACTGCTGCCAGCCGCTGGATTATACTCTTACACTTTGTTGATCTTTACTAGTTGAGCTCCACGCTTTAACTCCCAAGTGAAGTATGGAGTTTCATGATAGCATCACCCACATGTGCGTGCATGAGGTTAATGTGTGAAGAGACGTCTGTAGCATTGTTGGAGGGGTGCAAGCAGCTCACCAGGCCCCACAGCCTTGGAGTCCAGGCCTGGAGCCTTTGATCTCCTTCAGCTGATGATCCAGATGGATGAATGACTGGACAGTGCATAGCTTTAATTGAGAAATGCCTCTGTAGACGCACAGCAGTGAAAGTTCTTATATAACACTCACTAATTTGTTTTTCACTACCTTGAAACATAATACAGTAACTTAGCCTGTCTTTTGAATTCAAGGCGTTGGGTCTTTTGTCCCATAACAATAGTGGAACTAAACACAATGAATAAAGCATTAAATTAACATGAACTTGACGTTTTCTTTCAGTTGGGAAAATTTAGATTGCTGCAGTTCACTGGAGAGGAAGAGGACCAGAGGTTACGGATGGAGAATAACTTCAGGCCTCCCCAGCCTCTGAAAGGAAGAAGGATTCGCTCCTCCAATTGATGATGAATCATAAAAGCACCATTACAGGAAACACTTTAGACTGGATGCAATATGGAATATTGGAATATTATATTTTTTACAAACATTTGAGGACTTTACTGCATTGCTGAAATATTAAGAACAGATGAGGAGTGATATTGATGTAGATGTTATAATGTATTCTTGGGAATACAAAATGACTACATCAAAATGTGTTTTGTCCTATTGTGTGGTTCTGGTACATACATTCACTAATGTGAAGCACAGAGGAGTGTAAACAGTATGTGGACACTGCCTCCAAGCTGATCCCTTGATCCTCTGGACATTCAGACTATTGCTGGAGGATTCCTGGTCCAGGTGGACATGGATCCCTTCTCCCTGACAATCCTTATTGGGCCAGATTAGATTAGAGCTGCAGTTGTCCGCACCGTTTCAGGCCGGATAGCATGTCTGCGGTACTTAAGAGATCACTGCAGATAATTTGTTATTGTTTTAATAATGTTATTGGTTTTATTGTGGTTCATTTTTAGCACACTAATTAATTAAATTAATTAAACATGACACTTTAAAGTCCACAAATCAATTTCATATTCATTTTTATTTACAGTAGGCTCTTGTTAACAGCCTTAAGATCTGACACACTGCCTTTACACCAGACTGTAAGTAAAACACTAGAAGCTTATGAGAAAGCCTCTGAATGAAGCTGCTGTGACGTAGACTACAGAGATGAAAACAAATTTGTTAAATTCTCTTTAAAACATGTTTTAAAGAAGAAGCAACACCGGAATGTGTGGTCTGATTCTTTTGTAGCTTGATGAATAAAATACAGTCACAAGAATTCAACAGTCTATGTTTGTGTGTGTTTGTGCGTTTATGCATGTGTGTGTGTGTGTGTTAGTACGCGTGCATGTGTATATGTGCGTGCGTGTGTGTGCTGTAGCTGAAGGACAGTGGAGAAGAAAAGTTCAGGGAATATAGAATCATTTCTGTTAGTTCCTATCTACTTGATAAAATAGGTTGTACCAGGAACATGTTAGTAGTAAATCCTCAGCAGGTCTCTAAGACTTGAATATCAATACTTAATATTGAATAGTTTGCAGAATAAAATTTCCCGTTCACCCTGACAGGTTTGAAAAAAATGAAGCAGATGAAGCAATGACTCACACTGGACTAGAAAATTGATCTGGACTATTGACAGATTATCAAGGTCCGTGGAGCAGTGTTGGGGAAGACACCAAAATGTGTTGTTTTTAGTGTTTTTTTCATGAGAATAAAAAACAACTGTTGCCAGTTTTATGTTTAGTTTGTCAATCGGGACACATAGAGATAAAAAGAGATATGAAATTTGGGAAACATTTGTCGAGTCAATACAAGAAGTATTTTTGCTTATTATGGCCACGCCCGCTGGCAAACAGGGTGTCCAAATATATATATATATTTTTTTGACAGCTGTTTAATTCTCAAGTCTGGGTCAGCTCAATGCAAAAAAAAACATGTGACTGCAGGTGTTTTTTATAGCACCAAATTCTGTTTTTGCATCCTGTTCCAAACCATCAATGAGACGTATGACCGTCAGTGTTAGGTCTAATAAATCAGAACTCTTTGAGTCAATGCAGTTTAGAAGCCAAAGAATTAGCCAAAAAGTTTTGTCTTGCAGCCGGAAGGTTCTTCTTTTAAAACTGATGGAGATTTTTTATTTTGAGAAATAGATTGAATTCCATATAATCAAACATTTGAGGATATTGATGTTGAAAGTCATCTGTCTGTTATGACGCCTTTAACAGAAGATGTTTGAAGAGAAATGTGAAGAGCTAAAATTCCATGTATTGAAGTTGTTTTCACTGATAAAACCAATTTAAAGAAAAACGTCAAACATTAATACAACATTATACTAATAGCTTGTAGAGTGAAGATGTCCCTCAAGAGTCCTTTCCTACATAAACCTGGAATCAGTTCTCCTTCAAAATCTTGTACTTAATTGTCCCATTTCCAAGGTTTCCTAAAAAAGTTGTAAAGATCTGCTCATAACTCGCAATTACAAACCTATTGTGATGTCATGTAATGAATAAAATATATGAATGAATGGGATGACAGTAGCTCAGTTACAGTAGTAGAGCACTTTGGACCTTTGGAGCCCAACACCACCCATGTCACCTGCTCCCGCTGATATCTGTTGTCATTGTGTCCCTGGGCAATATATTGCCTGAAGCCCCCGCTGAAATGACCACGGCTGTATTTTCGATCACGGAGAAGCCATCTTCCCGTGGACCCACCACCTGCAGGAGGATCAGCGAGGGACCCCCTTGTCTGGGAAGACAATGACATGACATGACAAAATCCTTAAACTTGCAGATAAGTCTCTGCTCTGCAGATATGGTAGCACACACACATTATTCCTGCATTCAAAGGAGAAAAACACAACTTCATGACGGTGTGTTTGCTTTTGAATGACCAAATGTGGTTTCAGAAAGTGGTCTCCGTGTTGGAACCATGGGATGATTACATTCCATCACAATGATCTGAAGGATGCGGTTGGATCAAATGTTTGGAAGGTGTTCTCTGCTGACTTTCTCTCACCAGAAAAAAGCTACAAAACAATTGCTCCTGGAGCTCAATTGTAAGGGCTCAACATTTCTCAATATACCCTCCAAGTGTAGCACCAGAAGTTAGCTTCCAAATTGTGATCAGTCAAGGGGTGTGTGCGCGATAGAATTGCATCTTTTAGTTATTTACACAGAGACAGTGTTATCCAAAGATTCTTTCATCAGAGCTAAGACAAAGGCGCATCAGCACCACCTCCTTTGCGAGATGTGGCGAGGGCCGTCAGACCCGCTTGTGGCTTTAATAACTATTATTGTTATTATTGCTTTTGTACATTAATGTCTTTCTTTTTATGCTTTCAAGCATAAAATGTACTCTTAAAATGAGTATTCTGAAAATGTATTCTCGGTACAAGTATTTAGTTACTCCTAATGAAGACCAATGGGCTCATATCACATTTTAAAGCGTACTCCGGTGTGAAATAGAAACAGATGAAACATTAGGACCTAAAACATACCCAAGTTTCATTCACAAAAAAACAGGTAAAAGGTCTGATTGACTGTCAATCAAAATATTATTATATACATTTTATCATTTATCTATTTGCAAAGATAGTAAATCATTGTGCAGTTTTCTATTTCATAATGACTTGGTTCAGTGAAATGTGAATATGTGAGCACATGATTATCACAGCATACGTCATTCCCTCAAAAGCCAACGTGAATGGAAATAAATGAATGAATAAAATTAAAAATAGAATGTTTTGTGGTCAGCATGTCATTTCCACTAGATGGCAGAAGCACACAATAAACACACATCCAGTTGTTCAGTATAAGGTTATAGACAAACACTAGGTGGCAGCAGCCTCCACAATGTTTTTTTTTTTCTTTTGTCCTGTTGATGTAGAGATATACAATCTATGAGAAAGACAGAGAAAAAAGGACATTTCGTGATACATGCAAAATGAGAATAAAGCAGTTCCAGTAAACCCTCTGCTTGGTGCCTTAACATGTGTCTGCTTTGATTATTTAAACATGACTGTAATGAAGTCTGCTGGAGCTATTTTTACATTTCTCTATATTGTGCCTGGTGCTAAAAATAGCCCTCGACCTTGTCTGTGTCACTGTCTTCCATCCTTACTGCGGCATTGATGTTATAAAGCATTATCTAATTTTATTTCAGCGGATCAAGAAATCAGACAGGATCTTGGATGAATAACGTGTGACAATTGAGTTATGTCTATCTTTAAACTGGGTAGTGCAGAATAGCCTTTATGAGCTGGGAATACAGCTACAATCAATGCACCGTGTAATAAGATATAGGCAAGCTTCAGAAATAGACTCAGTCTTGTGTATTTATAGCAGCAGATATATCTGTGAGCTTGTGGTCACTCATTTTTCCACTCACTCCTCTGCAGCCAGTAATAACGCCTTCACCTTTGATGACTATATCAAAGATGAACTGAATTACTTTTCTTCCTGCTTTTTGCCACATTGCTCAGAATTCAGGGTTAATACAATTTTAATTCTTACATTGGGTCTCCTCTACCCAAATGTAACTGTAGCCTATAGAGAAGTCTTGCTTGTCTCCAATAGAGATGGAAAAACAAATCCAAAACAGTGGGACATTTTAGGACGAAACATAGATGGACACAAGCAAAAGACAGTCTATGTATCAGAAAAGCTGTTAGTATAAATATATCAATAGCAGCTTAAATTATTGCACATTTGCAGCTTAAACCCTCATAAATTTAGGTTACAGTAATATTAAACAAAAAAGAAAGATACTAATACAAATATACGTATTGCATTAGAAGTGGTTCAAGCTTTTAAAATGTAAAATTGACTTCAGACAGCCTATCTAAACAGTCCTCTATCGCTCTTGCTATAACTGTTTTAATGGGCTTTTGTCTCCATGAAATAATTCTTGTTTTCTGGTTTGCCTCCAAAGACACTCATCCAGTCTCTTTAAATCACCTTGTATTCAAAGTGACTCTATCTCGCAATCATGGGACCAAGTCATAGCCCTGTTTCCATGGAGACAAACAGACACACGCACAACACATGCGCCTCAGCCGTGTCCCTGAGCAGACCCACACTGGTCATGTTGAAAACCCCTGTCTTTACACCCGAAATACCAACACATGTGCAACAGATACTGCATTATATTTATGGCATAGGTGTTTCATTTGACTTTATTTATAACAAATGAAAGAATGTACATGTGTGTGCCCGTGTGCCCGTGTGTGTGTGAGTGTGTGTGTGTGTGTGTGTGTGTGTGTGTGTGTGTGTGTGTGTGTGTGTGTGTGTGTGTGTGTGTGTGTGTGTATGCGTGTGTGTGTGTGTGTGTGTGTGTGTGTGTGTGTGTGTGATAAACTATACTTCAACAAAGACTTATTTTGCACCTTGGGTCATCCTAATGATATTTGACATAACACTCTAACAAATGACTTACTTAACTAAGTGATACACAATGGAAAT